TCCAGCTCAGGCTAAAAGGCTAAAATATCAATTAATTAATTAATCAAAAGAAAAACATAATAATAATAACAATAGCAATAACAATAACAATAACAATAACAATAATAATGATATACCTTGAACATCCATTCATATTCATTGTTCTTATTAAAAGTTCCTTTTTGTAACCATTTAAGCTTGAGAGTAAATTTTGTACCAATTTCTTGTAGTTCTACTTTATCTTTACTTTGAAAATTATATCTATTTATTTTTTATTATTTTTTTTTTTTGTTTTGTTTTATGGTTGTTCAGTTTTGTCTACCTGTGATGTCTAAAAATATAAAATCCCTTTGATTGTGAAATGTAGCAACCTGTCTTCCTTGAAACTGTGGCACATGAGGAAATAAGCTTGAAACCATCTACTGATAGTATGAACAAGCCTTGTATTAAAATTATTCAATATTAATTCTGGTTTATGATTTGAAGATCTTCCATGTCCCTTGATTAGCACATTTTATTATAAGAAGATATATACAGGTGAGATAGTGCTCTTTTATCTTCATACTATAAAAAAATAACAACTAAATCTTACATAAATTTCATGACTTAATTTCACATTTGTTAGCCTGAAATAAGGAGTTGGCCCATTTGGTAAATGCATTAAAGCCATTGAATCTGATTTCATAAATTCACCCAATAAAAAATAATTAAATATAATTAATATATTAAATACACATTAATAATAACAACAATAATAAATAGACCAATTACATGATGATTTCTTATTTTCATTGATAAATAACAAATCAGTGAGTTCTCTATTTTTTACAAAATTCTATAATTTGCCCAACTGTGAATTTTTTATTCCTTTGACGTATTGACTGTTCGGAAATACGTCAACTAGTTCAGATGCAAACCAATAAATAACTAGACTTTGATAGTAGTTATCAACATCTTTGTGATAATCCATCTTGAAAATATTTCGAAAATTCATCAGACACTTCCTCCTCAAAAACCTCATCATCGTCCACTCCAATAATTGTTTCATCTACTTCTCGAGTATTATCAAGAGTTTTTGGTACATTTTTCTTCAATCTTGCCTTATAATAGTAATGATGATCATGAATATACTTATGAATATATGGTGGAATAAATAATAATATTTTTTTTCTCGGGATCTTTTTCCTCTTCCTCTCGTAATTTTAACCTCCTTTTCCATTTTTTCGATATTTTTTTCCTGTTTTTTTCTAGTGTAGTCACCTTTTTTTGTCCTATATTTTATTTTAGGAGTAGTTGTCCGGCCCATTTTATTATTATTATTACTATTACCATTACTATTTTTATTTTTATTTACTATTTTTATTTATTTTGAGAAAAAATTTCTATTTGTATGATTTATAATGTAAATTTTACAAAAAAATAATTAACGACACCGTGAAAATTCTAATAATAATAATATTTAAGAATAGAAGATTAATATGGTTTTTTTTATTTTAAAACTACGGAATATTTTTTTGATTTAATAGTTTATTTAAATGAATTAGAAAGAACTAATCGAAGGATGTTCCTTAAAGAGACAAAACCATAGATTCCAGAGCTAAAGATACAAATAATTGAAGGAAAATTTATTTTTTAGACAATGTAAAAACCATTTGGAATGATCATGTAAAAGTTTATTCATTATTATTATATTGTGCATGCATTTATTATTATGAGTAAACTAAATGAAACTTGACGTAAAATTGAAAAGGAATTCGTATTCCTTCAACAATGATTAACAAATGCAGTAGTTATGATATGAATATTCATTTCGTCAAATTCGGTAATTATAATTAATATTTAGTAGGAATAATTGATTAGAATTCCATCATAGATGATGTTCCCTAATTGTGAGACGTTACAAAGTTTCCAAGAAACCAACGAAAAAAAAAATATAAATTGGCAAAAACCATCCATAACTTTCAGAAAAAAAACTTTAACATAACAAAAAACAATATTTTATTTAAAAAATGAATAATTTTAATAATTTATTACTATTGCCAGTTGAAATGTTAACAATGATCTTCAAAAATGTAAAATTTCCAATCTCATTAACCTTGACGTGCAAGTTTTGGCACAAAATCTCAAAGGATCCACACTCGAGAGCCGAATGGTTGATAGAGCATTATGGTTCACATGCTTTAGTTTATGCTATTAAATTTGGTCCTGACTTTATTAGCGTTAAATTGGTGGAATGTTTGCTTGCTAAAAATATTAATTTATCGCAATATCTTGTGCAAAAATTATCTTCTAATGTTGGTAAATCCGATGAAAAATTAACTAAACTGAGATATAATAATAATAATAATAATAATAATAATAATAATAATAATAATAATAATAATAATAATAATAATAATAATAATAATAGTAATAGTAATAGTAATAGTAATAGTAATAATAATTAATTTTAAGGTTCTTTCGATATCATTTTGCTTCTTCCTCTTCTTACATTAAAAAAATTATCTTCAGGGCCAAATATTATACTTGGACGAAAGATTATCGCATCAGGACATTCTTCACGTACTGCAATTTCTCCCAACCCTACAATAAAATCAAGATCATAATTGATGATTGATTGATTGATTAGAAAAAAAGCTCAAAAATCTAAGATCGTCATACCCTTAGTTTTGGCATAAGGAATATCACTATTAGGATCTGCACCGATAGCACTAATGTGGATTAGGCGAGCATTATTTTGGTGAGCAGCTTTGGCAACATTACGAGCACCTTGATGTTGAACATTTTCAAAAGTAATATTTTCAGAAGGTGTTTCATGCATTATTCCAGGTAAATTGATAACAAGATTTGCGTCTTTACATATTTCCGATAATTGATCTGATGATGATGATCGATCTGACGAAATTGATATTGATACAGGTGGAAAAATTTGATTGCCTAGTAGTAATAGTAGAATGATAGATTGATGATACGTAGAAAGATAGAATGAATTAATGGAATTAAAGCAACAGATAATCCAAATATGCAATAGTGATAAAACAATGATAATCATTATGATGATGATGATGATGATGATGATGATGATGATAACAAATTACCTAATTTACGAAGATCATCAATTTTTGGATTTCGTGAAGCAATTGTGATTCTTGTATTTGGATTACTGACAAAAGCTTTTGCGATATATTTACCTATGTATATATTACCAATGTTTTTTAATTAATTAATTAATTTGTTTTTTCTAATTATAGATCATAGATATAATAATATGTATCTTAGATAACGACGTAATACCAACCAACAAATCCAGATCCGCCAATTATTATGACTTTTTTGAATTGATTATTATTATTTTTTATTGTTGAGAAGGTGGAGGAGGAGTTGATGGAAGTGTAAGAGATGATATTAGTTTTAAATGAAGTTTTAAGATAGAATATCGGTGACAATAAAAAAGAGAAGGGATTTTTTGCAACAGTTTTAGATATGCAAGGATGGTGACGATGTTTTATAATGTTTGGATTGTGGCTGATATGTTTATAATTACATTTTTGGAAATAATTTAAATTATTGTGAAATCCTAATCTTTTTAATATTGATAGCATTAATTATTATTGTTTATAAATTATTTGAAATTAAAAATTTTAATTTTGTAACATATCTCGCAGATCAATGGAAAACCCAAATTTTTTTTTTTATCTTGAAGCATTTTGGGGGAGTAAAATTCGGGGTAAACAGATTGTAATGAATTACATGGATATCACCAAAAAAATTTTTGTTAACTTATATATCGTGTAACATTCATTACAGCTATTGATACTTTAGAAGTTATTATTAGTTCTTTTATTAATAATATCATATCATACCAGCATTCATGCAATTAAAATTAAATAAATAATTTCACATAAAACTAATGCACAGATCACCCCACCTTCTATGAACCTGAATGAAAGGCTAAGAATAAAATATTCTCCAGAGACCAATTTTGGGAAATTATCATTTCAATTTTAATGATCAATGTTGAAACCCATTGGTGCAGCTTCCCAGCCAGACACACTCCTAGAATCGGAAAACTCTATTGTGAGCATTATGATTCGTTAATAGATTTAAAATTCAAAAAAAGAAACAAATTGAAAAAATGCTAATACATTTGTAAATCATTTCTTAAACAGGAAAAATCCATAACCAATTTTCGAGATTCGTGTTAATATGATCGGTCGCTTGATTTTACGGTCAAGTCCATAGTTTTCCTAGTTCCCCTTACTCAATAGAATTTTCCAGATCTTTTTACAGTGTAATTTCAAAATTATGAGTTGTAGTTGTGTTCAAAAATGCAATAATTTTTACTCATCCTGTAATCATTTTAGACGAATCACATGACAAAATTATCAGTTGATATTGTCTTCAAATTTTGTTTTGATGGTAAAAGATATGTATGAAGATAAATTGTGTTAATAATGATCATGATTGAATATATTGCAAAACCTACAAGTGCTAATTTTGGAGTTTACATAGTAAACTTGTGACTTAATTTCTCATTAGCAGGGTTACTGTCAAACTAAATTTGCAAAGTTCTCTAATCAGCCAATCACAGTATGGTATTTTTGTTAGGGAGTGATCTCGATTTAGCGGATACCAATTAAAAAACTCGGTTTTACGGATAAAGTTCAAGAACAGTTCCAAAAAAAACTTTAATAAAAGCCTTCTCAATATAGCGGATATCTCGATTTAACGGATTTTTGGAAAATTTTCCCTAATTGCCCAAACTATCTGCTAAATCAAGATTCACTGTGTATAGTGCTAATCACAAGTACTCATCCAATAAAAATACCCTTTCCTAAAAAGGATATTCAGCAAGATAGAGAAAACTTTTTGAAAAATCTAATACTAATCATCATTTGTTTATCTTAAGTAAAGTATAAACTGACATTGGATTTTTCAGTTCGGTTGCATAGAACCTGAGATATATCGTTTTAAAGTTCAAGCTAAATTACTATGTTTACTATGTTTGAAAGGCCAAATTGCAACATTGGACTAAACTCGTATGCAAACAGTTGCCTGCAGTATAAGCCTCGTTCCAACGGAATTGCTGGACATATTAATATTAATATTAATATAATTTAAAATCCGTTGAAACGAAGTCCGTTGAAACAAAGGTTATACTGTAATGTGGATCATTTGAAAACTTGAATTCAGAAAACCTTTTACCAAATTTGGAAAGATAATTAGGTTTTTAAAAATTGAAACAAATTGGATGTGTACTTGTGATCAGTACATACCGTAATAATAAATCAGATGATTAAGTAGGTGGTAGTGAGTCAAGTAAATCACGTATGGCGACCATTCCTTAAATATATGGTCACAGAGGCTCAACCTTGCCAATTAAAGGGACTCGTGTGATTTATGATGCTTAGGCCGTTCAAATTTAATTATTCGTTTAACATCACCCGATTTTCAAAATTTCAAACAATTATCAAACACGTGTTTTAAACGTGTAACAAAATATTCAAACTTTATTATAAACCACGTGACTTTTGTATGCAACAAACCATTTTTGGAAAAATAATTTTTCTCTGCCGATCACTAGTGATTAAAGGCTTTTCATTGGTGTTTATTTTGTTTGTTTTCTCCCCCTCTCTTAATTTTCAAAAAAAAAAGGATGTTAAACAAATAATTAAATTCGAACAGTCTTAGGTTTGTATTCACGAATACCGTAATGAGGTCACACTGGGTCACACACTATTAAAAATCAAGTGTTTCAAGTGTGTAACCCCCTTAACGATTCATGGTATTCATGAATACAATTTGTTTTTTTGGTCTCGCATTTCAATTTACAAGTCCAATAAAAAGTTGAGAGACAGGTGTCTGTACTATAGAAAAACTTCGAGGGCGTTATTAATAAATTTTTTAGTTGAAGTTCATTATCAAATTACTAAAATTTGGAACATAAATTCATAAAATTGGTGTTTGGATACAAATTTCCGTTGGCTAATGCCATATTTAGAAGTATTTACATGATCAGAAACATGATTACAGTTACACCGATCAATATTTTAAAAAGTGAACAGAAAATTACAGGGTTTCAAAATTTTCAGTGACCAATTTAGTATTAGAAATTTTTAATTTTTTCATTGCGATAAGCTTATATTTGTTACACGTATGCGCATTTATTATTATTTAATTTTTTGTATATTTTGTATATTCTTTGTATATATAGAGAATAAAAATTTGTAATTATTGGTTGAACTTCTTTCTCGTGTAATATTAGCAAAATTTCTGAATTCCGTGCAAAAATCTGCGTGTATAAATAACATTTGTGACAATTTCCCACATTATTTATTTATGCAATGTGCAATATAATAATAACCGAAATGAAATAGAATGAACAGAGTTTAACAAATAAAAATGCATTTTCCTTTGTCAAAAAGAGAAAAATCCCAATTGAAAAGTAAAAATTGCCAAATTTAATTTTGCCTGACTCGAGAATTAAATTCTTGCGGAATAATTTATCATATAAAAAAGAATTCTAAAATGAATACAAATGAAAATTAAAAAAGACGAATTTCATTTCTTTATTTATTTTTTTTATTTGTTGTTTATATCAAATGTCAACAAAAATTTCCATGTTGTGATGATGTTAAAATACGTTTAAAAATAAAAAACCTTTTTACTTTCTCATTGTAATTTAAAAAGGAATTGATAATAATAATATCATTTACGGTTGAAAATTAATTTATTATTATTATTGTGATCATTTCATCAATCATACATTAAGATAATAAATAGTATATATATAACTGCATTACGACTCATATTCATTCATACACAACACATTCCTCTTACTCACTAATGCTAAATAGATAAATTTTGACTAAACTTTTTAATACCAATAACCGATAAATATTATATTTGAAAATATTTTTATTTGAAAAAAAAAAGGTTATTTTTTTTTTTTCTTAAAGAAATTAAAAAACTTTTTCAAATTAAAAAAATTAAAATAGATTTTAAAAATTTTCTCTTCGTCTAACCGGCTTTTAGGCGTGTTATAATCATAATCATAATCATCTTATAGAAATACATTTATATAATGTCACGCTCACCAACAAATTCCCTTAGCGGTGGGTATAATCATGAAACTATTTTAAATCTTTATTCAATAACACCAAATAATAATAATAATAATTACGACAACAACAATAATCGAAATGGTTCCTCGACATCTTTAGATCAAACAAATAGTATCAAGAGTAATGCTAGTAGTACGAGTGGTGGGGATAATTCTATTACCATCAAAAATTATAAATGTCCAGATTCAAAAGATTACTTGAGAAGGCACAAATCCGTTACATTTTCTTACTTGTCAGATCCTAATAATTCCAGTTCATTTCAGCTGGGAAATCTTAACGATTCTGACACCTTCATAGTTGGCGTGCTACATTTAAAATATTCAAAACCAACACATATTAAAAATGTATGTTTGTCTTTGAAAGGTGTTGAGAAAACTTCTTGGCATAAGGCTCAGGCAAGAACAAAAGTTGTTTATGGTGGTGAACATGTTCTTGTGGACCAGACTAATAAAATAAAGGAGTTTGGAGATGGTCAGGAGGTGGAAGAATTGGAAATCCCTTTCAAAATCCAATTACCCTACAATTTGCCAGAAACTATTGTTACAGAAACTGGTTCGATAACTTATGTTCTACGAGCCACCGTCAACTTTAAGTCTTTGTTACATCCACCAAATGTTACCAAAATAAAATGTCCTTTGAAACGTGTCATTGAAATTGATCATCAAAATCTTCCCCCCTATAAATTATCTGGCAATAGTAGTAAGTTTAATAGTGTAAGTGGTATCAATAGTCGTAATAACAACAATGATGATGCAATTGAATATGTAATTATGTTACCTCCAAATAAAAATCTTAGCCTGGGCAGTCGCATAACGATACCAATGATGTTAAGATTGTTAAGACAAGGAATTAGTGTCGATAGAGTCGAAATATCATTAAAGACATGCATGGATTTTCAATCAAATAATCATGACGTAACTAAACATGAAGAAATAAATTATCCAGATATAAAAATACAACAATCAGAATTACAATTTAGTCAACCTGTAATTATCAATAATGTTAATAATGGTATGGCCCAATATCAACATTATGGTGAATGTCATCATAATTTTAATTTATTCATCCCAACTAAAATACAACCAACTTATCAAGGAAGATATATTGGAATAAGTCATCAATTATATATAAAGATTTCTTTATGGGGATTTGAAAAAGATATAGATATCGAGGAAAGTGTTAGAATCGCTAATATCATTGATAAAAATTTTAATGATTCACCTTCACCCAAAAATGTTATTAATGATAGATCATCATCATTGTCAATGAATTCAACACCTGCCCGTCCTTCATCTCCATCATCGCCTCCACCACCTCATCCTAATTCACAAACACCTTTTAGAATACCATCAGTGTCACCAACAAGTTCATTGCCACCAACAAATTCATTGCCACCGGAGCATTTAATCAATCAACAACATCTTTTACAGAAAATCTTGAGTGACCCTTATTTGATGAGTGCGATTTATGCAAATAATAATAATCCTGGATTTCTTCCAAATCAATATTTTCCTCAATTTCCACTTCATCCTCATCATTACAATTTATTGCCCAATCAGATTCCTCCACAATTAATTCCACCACATCTTAATCATCCACATAATAGTTTACAATTTCACCCATCCCTCAATAATAGTGGTAGTAACAATTTACAACGTCACTCATCCCTCAATCATATCAATAATCGTAATAATCATAATAACAATGATAATGATGATGATGATAATAATAATCAATTACCACCATTTCAAAATAATTATCAACAACAACAACAAACTATATTAGCATTACATGATTATCATCAACAGCAATTAAATTTACAACGTCAATTAGAACAACTTGATCCTAATAACATCGGTGTGTTTGATCAAGCTACTAATGCTGCTGCTGGCCAACCATTAGTTTATCCACTGGCAACACAACCGATGTCTCATCAATCAATGTCATCAGCATCACCATCTTTAAACTCTTCATCTGCGTCATCATTTTATAACCAAGCTCCACCTACTCCACCTAATAATAATAATAATCATCAACGTCAACCTTCACATGAACAGCTTTATCGTCGTCAATCACAAGTCTCAATTGAAAATTATTTGAGAAGTATCACTTGCGATGGTAATTCTTCTTACGATAACTATAGTCATAGTAATAATGACAATAATGGTAATGAAGTATTTGGTTCTGGTGTTGGAGACGTTCCTTCTGATCAGAATCAAAAGAGATTTTCAGATCCTATACCACAAACTTCTTCCATAAACTGCAACAACAATACTGCTAACGCCACAAGTGAAAAAAATAGTCCTAGTGTTAATGTTAGTTCACATTGTAAATTAACACCATCGGCTTCACCGACAAACGAGAATTTCTTAGAAACACAAGATAAGAATAGATCAAGTTTATTAAGCAACGCTAATAGTGTTTGTGAATCGATTAAAACTCTGTCAATCAGTGATAACGATAAAAGTAAAGGTGAAAAGGCAGACGATAATGGAAACAATGGGCATGAGTTAAATGACACGCTATCGAATGTAACTATAATAACTGCTAGATATACTCCATCACCATATCCAACTAGTCTTTCTCTGCCACCTTATCGTCATGCAAATACTGCCACTTTGACAACTGTGACTTCTTCAGAGTATAATACTAATAATAATAATAATCATGGTAATGGGAATGGGAATCTGGACAATAATGATGGTAATAATAAAAATGGTTTAAAATCATAAGGGCTTATAAATTTTTTATTTATATTTTCAATTTTGTTTTTTAATATTAATATATTTATATTTTTTTAATTTTTAAATATAATGTGAATATATATTGTATATAATAAATATAATTTATTTTTTATTATCAGTATAATAATTAATTGATTTTCCTTCTGAAAAATTTCATTGAATCTATCAATACCTTTCTTGTCTCTCAACATTTTATATTATTATTACTATGCTCATCCCACCATATGACCATTTAGACAAGCCACGCGACAAAACGACATATTATTGAGATCCTCATAAGGTGTATCATAATTATCAGGACTTGATCATTGCTGATTATAGGTTGAGGTTGATAAAGTATGGCCATCAGTATTACCTGTGAATCAGTTATTGTCTTCTACAAGAAAATTACATATGCAATATTATATATATCTCTATCAATTTACCTTGCATGTCAGTACTATCAAGAATAGAAGACACTTAAAAAAACTTTTTTTTTGTTAATAAGAACGAGCGAGTGAATTAATCAATTAAACCTGACCAATATTGATCATGGATGGGTGTCACAATAGTTAATTGATTGATCCCCTCTCATCTCTTTCCAATGATTAATCAAAATATTATTTACTGGCAGTGTAGATTGTTCCGATGTCTATTTTTTCAGGACATTTATTTATAATATCTTTCTTTAATTCCTCAACACTATTGTAAGAATTATATCTTGAACAAACATCTCCATTTAATGTAAAACTAAATTCCCGATTATAAAATGATTGCCAATATCTAAAAAAAATATTAATAATAATAATAATAATAATAATAATAATAATAATAATAATAATAAACCATTATTTATAAATAAAATTAATACCTGTTCCATATAATTTTTCCGTATCTTTTATAATTACGTATGTAAAATTTCTATAGTAATAGGGATGTAATACATTTGATACCATTGTCCTTAATTTGTAAAGAGTTAACAAATATATAGATTGATAAATTGCATCACCCAAGTAATGATAATACCAGGACCATGCAGAAATGAAAAAAAAATAAAATGAGCAAATCTGATATTGATTATAGGCAGGGTTGGTATTGAACAATATCCAACCCTGATTACATGTGTCAGATTTTCATATACCCCTCAGCATTAAAGAGCCACTTGAATGGTAAAAAGGTATCTTGTGGTAAACATAAAATGGTTCCAATTTGTTTGATATTGGATGAGTAAAAAACTATAATTTAGACATATATATATTATCCATAAAAAATATAAAAATCAAAATCATAATGGATTACATAACTAATGCTAAAGTTGGAAATGGAACTGTAACATGCCTAATTTCAACATCATTTAACTACTCTGTAATTTCTATAGATTTTCTTAAGAAGTTAAATTTGGAATATAAAAATTCAAAAGATAAAATTATTTATTTAGGCGGTACTGAGAAAATACATCCTTTAGATGTAGCTATTATTCCAATTCAGTTTGAGGATGCAATGTTACAATTGATTCTGAAATATATGTTTGTGATAAAAATAATCTTTTGAAAAATACTATCATTCTTGGTAATGATTGGTTTGGAAGCCTTCATAATTATTCGATTAAATTAATTCATACATTACCATATTGCAAGGAATTAGGAACATATCTTTCTATTAGAAGCTTTGGATCAGATTCTGGGCAAAAACTTTTCAAAAAATTAAAATGCACATATTGTTCTTCTTTTGATCTATATGAGTTATATGATTCTTTTGATGATGCAGATGATTATTCCGAATCTTAATCAAACATCCATTCTGGAATAATTTGTTCTTCTTGCTGGCATTATAATTGTCCATTGGGCACTCAGGATGATTATTAACTGTATTTCTTTGATTTCTTCTTCTTGGATTTCCCCATCTTTGGTGCTCTGCAACAACTAATTCCTAGCTTCATATAAATAGTAATAAAATTCTATATTTGATCTGGGATATGGAACTTCATTTAATGGTATTCTTCTTATTTCTGCAACTCTAGCACGAATTCTTTGTCTTAATCTTGCATTTATGCATTGATTATTTGGCATTTTTTATGATTTCTACATATTTGTTCAATTGGGGCATGCTGCAACAAAACCAGACAAAGTGAACATTGGTATTACCAATGATTTCAGGGATCAATAGTGTTTGTTTATTTGTTTATCATCACAAATTGTATTACAATCATGATATTTGTCTAGACAAAAATAGTTAATATGAAATTAATTTACATTAGGTCTACTATGGAACCCAAGAATTATAGCACCATTAGAAGTATTTTGAAGAAAGAACAAGGTGAAAAAATTGCTCCTTATATTTTTAAAATAAATGACACTCAAACACTGGAAGCTTATCTAAAAAAAGAAAGGATTACCTATGAAATTTACCATGAAGAAAGAAAAATAATAAATGTTGGAAAAAGAAAACATCATGACATGCCCCAATTGATAAAAAATGATCGGCATTAGTGTAACAAAAAAATTATTGTATATGTATAGTGTTAACATTAATTATAATTTAAAGATATGATGTATACATATAGTGTTAACATATTTTACATTATGTGTAGACATCTTTGTGATCTAATTTTGTTTATAAAAAGACATTATCTTTATTTCTTGAAAGGTATTGATTAATCAGTTTCTGATTCTATATATTTTATTCTGATAAAGTCATTGATTCTCTTAGCCCTTGAGATTTAGGATTTCTTATTAGAATGCTTATGTAAAATTACTTCATAGAAGGGTTGGAGATTGAACTCATAGGTGGTATCAGATTTCATATGATGATCTAGAGGCTTCTCTATCTAGGATTAGGTATAGTATTCATATTGAAATTTCGATTTAGACTTATAAATTAAAGTATTACTATATAAAAAATATATCTTATAAAAAAATGAGTGAAAAACATACTATCTTCAGTGGATTAATCCTTTCTCTTTGTATATATTCAGTTAAAATTAATGTTAAAGATCTTAATTATAAAGATCTTGGAGAACAACTTAAAGCCTACTAAAAATATTTTAGTGATTAATAGTAATTTTGTTCACAAAGCTTATGATGGGTTTGAAGAATTTATAAATAGACCTAAGAAGCTAGCACCTTCTAAGAAGAAATTAATAGCTATACCTGGCTATAAAGAACGAAAAAAGATTGGTGATGGTACTTGCTTTCAATCCTGCCTTGAGTTTATTGTATTAATTGATGATAAGACTTATAAAATGTGCTATTTTCCTAGGAGTGGAGAATTACAAGTGTTTGGTGTTATAGATGAAAAATTTCATTCTGGTGAAATTGCTGTTGAGTATATTATTGATTTTCTTAAACATAGCGGACTTTCAGAATTTGAATCAGTTGGTGTTGTTAGTCATAACCTTTCATTGTTGAATTATAAATTTAACGTTATCTTACCTAAAAATACTCTTATTGATATATCAAAAATACATGATATCATTTCTTCAGATAATTTTCCTTCACCTTTTCCTATTGACTATGTTAGTAATCCTCTTGATGGAATCCACAAACTTTCAATCAAGTTTAATGCATCTGGAAAAAATACTTATGTTCTTATTTGGCCTTTGGATTCTAACTTCTTGATTTATGATTATTTGAATTCTATCTTCAGTTCTGAAATATATAATCTCTTTAAGACTTTACCTATTCCTGATAAAAAATAAAATATTGGAAAGATTACTGGTAATAAATATATTATTATAATTATTTACAGCAATCACAATCAGCAGCCATAATTATTTATGGCAAATGGTAACGACCTGTCCAAACATTTATTGCAAGTGTCTTTAGTATATTTAGTCATGATGAAAAAATTATGTTATAAAGAAAATTAATGAAAAATTTATTATAAAAACTTCAATTATGAAAGAACAAAGTAATTATTAGAAAATTATGAGCAATAAAAGCTTTTTTTGACCATGTGATTAACAAAATTGGCATGTATGGGAATGTTTATCCAACCTGGTAGTTGGGCATTCTTTTATTATCATAACTCGTGCAGTATACTATTCTTCTTATTTTATTATATTTACTAATTTAGAAAATCACATTGTAATTTTTTGTAATTTTGTAATTCAATGTATTCTGGTTACACAATTTTATAAATTTCCACTTTCATATGAGCCGATTTGCGGAATGGACAAATTACAGGGGATATGTAACACAAAAATTTTACTATTACTATGATAACCAATAATAAATAAGCATGGTGGACATTCTTTGTTGTCACATTGTGCAACGATCAACAAAACAATTTTATCACTTAATGTAACGCAAAATTAATTATTTTTGATTGGCTAAATCAAATAAATATAATTTTTATTAACTAAAAATGATGAAAATTGTATATTGCCATATTTAATTTTTGATCTAAACTTCTATCAATATTCAAGTCATTACCAAAATCACTAAAAGAAACATCATCTACTTCATTTTCATTTACTTCTACATTTAAATCATCCTCATTTAAATCATCTTCAAGTATTGATGCACTTGTATTTTCTAATCTTTCATTATATGAATATATCAATACACAATCATTACTTTGATTTTCATTTTGTTTAATATTGCAATGTTCATAATCACAAAAGATCCTACTATTGGGTGGATTTGAGGTATGATATCCTGATGGTAATGCTTCCATTTGAACCTCAATATTAAAAGTAGATAATAAATAATTTTTCTGCTCTTTTGATGGAGGATTAATGTTATCTGAATTTGCCCAAATTTTTTGAAAGAAATCTAAGAGAAATAATGCAGATTTTTTTGTCATTGTATCAATTTTTTTTTTGTATATGGATATTTCTTTGTTAATAAAAATGGTTTTATAAATTCAGAATCATGTCTGTTATTGTCTATATTAATAGCATCATCTCTTAATCCTTCTGGGTTAAAATTTTTTCCTGATGTTCTTCGATGGATCAAACTATGAAAATTTTCTACAAAATATTCATTAAATTCAGATAAATGATCTTGAAGGATATTATACATTGGATGTTCAATTGTTTGCCAATAAAAAATATCTGAAAGAAAGGCTAACATAATTTTATCATAGTTTTTTCTGCCAAATTTTTTCATAAATGTCCATAACTGAAAAATTGTTTCTATATATTGCTCAAAATGACCTTCTCTGAATAGAACAGCATAAACATCTAATGCAGCTGGCATACAATTGTCCAATAAATCCAAAAATGTTTGATATTCAACATTTTTACTAAACTTGAATTTTTCCATAACAGATTTTCTAATTATCATCCATCCTGAATATGCAAGATAAATAATAAGATTGATCATCCACTAATGCAGCTGGCATACAATTGTCCAATAAATCCAAAAATGTTTGATATTCAACATTTTTACTAAACTTGAATTTTTCCATAACAGATTTTCTAATTATCATCCATCCTGAATATGCAAGATAAATAATAAGATTGATCATCCATGGCTGTGGTTTTTTTGGCAGGTTTTTCTTTTTTTGAAAAGTTTCTTTATATAAAAGATTAAAAAATGGATGATATATTTTAACTATTGTTTCTCTTGTGTTAAGAGAAACATGAAGCGGCCCTAACATAGGAACTAAATGTAAAATGTTATTAGAAATATTAATAGAATCACCATATCTTCTTTTGAGTGTAATTGCTCTACGAATAAAATATTGTCCAGGGTAATCTGCAGGCACTGGCACTACATAATTTGATAAGTAATTGCTCATTGTGGGTAATTCTATAAATGGTGTGATTGCTTGAAGATAATTATCTAAAGATTTTAATTCTTGGGGAACAAAATCTACAAGTTTCACAGAATCCATTTTTCTTTTTTCTGGATGAGCTTCTTGAAATTCTGGTTCATAGCTATGAACAGTTAAATTATTAATTAATTCATCTTCATTAAGATTGACATTGTTACTTATGCAGAACCATGTTGATTTTTTTTCTGTATAACTAATTCCCAAACATGAAATATAATCAAATTTCAAAGCCCATCTTAGTAAATCAGCATCAACATTTAAAGGATTATGAATTGGTTCACCTAATGTTGAGATAAAAGGAATTGGTGGAATATCA